CCGCCGGTGACGGGATCGCTCGCTGATTCGAAGGAGGGAGCTTTTAGGGGAAATGGTGCAGCGGGGGACGAGAGGGAGAGGGAGAAGGGAGTGCTGAATGTGTGAGAGGACGTAATTGTTACTTTTTTGGAGAAGATGTTTTCTGTATGCCTAATTTATGCAAAATGGGCAGATTGGTATAAATTTTCGAGGTTTGGTGACAAGTTGTATATTTTTTTTTAAGTTTTGTCAGATTGTTATAAATTTTTAACTCCGGCGCCATATTAGCCTTAAGTTTGGCCGGAGTTACTGTTCCGGCTAGTGTTGATGAGATTTTTGCATAAAACTCCATTATAAAAAAACTTATCCTGCTCCTAACCCCCTCCCCCTCCCCCTCCCTCCTCCTCCTCTTCCTCCTCCTCATCCTGCTCCCAAACATTCGCGACTACTCCAATTGGCGAACTGCTCGAATTGAAACCCACCTTCGGTGATGGGCAGATGTATAAAGGGTCGTCGAGAGATATCGATTTGGGCAACGGGTAAGCGGGTAGAGGTGACCCGAAGAAAGTTCCGACGAGGTCGATCTGTGCCTGAATCTGGGTCAAATCTCCAGCGGTCTCTATGGGGGTTTTGAGATCTGGGCTCGGGAAGCCCAAGAACGAGGCGAGGCCATCGGAGTCCGAGGTGTTGAAGGGGAACGGGGAGTTGTTGTTGAGGACAGCACCATTGGCGGAGACGATGAGCTCTTGGTGCTGGACTTGGATAAGGAGGGACCAAGCTTTGAGCTCGGCGAGGCCGTTGTTTTGGACGGTGGCCGTGGCTTTGAAGGAGTTGGGCTGGGCTTTGGGGTCCTTGAGAAGAGGATGGATTTGCTTGCGATCGGTGATGGAGTAGGATAACTCGATGCCGTTGCAGACCGGGGGTGTTTCTGGGGGATGAGATTGGGTTGAGATGAAGAAGAGAGCGAGGAAGAGGAGAGAGGAAGAGGATGAGGAGGAGGAAGAGGATGAGGAGGAGGGGGTTAGGAGCAGGATAAGTTTTTTATAAGGGAGTTTTATGCAAAAAAATCCCATCAATACTGGTCGGAACAGTAACTCCGGACAAACTTAATGCCAATATGGCGCCAGAGTTGAAAATTTATACCAATCTGACAAAACTTAAAAAAAAATATACCAACTTGTCATCAAGCCTCAAGAAATTATACCAATTTGGCCATTTTGCCGCCTAATTTAACTAGTTTCGGAACTATCCATTTTTTTTTGGGGTGGGGTGGGGTGGGGTGGGGGGGCGGCGGAATATCAAGTTAATTACCTTTAATACTCTAAACTTCTATAGATTTTTTATTTTCATTTTCCATATGCTGCCGCATGGTTTAAAAATTAATTTGTGATGTTAACATATTTTGTTTTATCGCTGTTTACAATTATTTTTGAAAGTCAATACATGATGATCATGCGACGGTACTTGGACCTTTTATACCCTTAAACTAAAAAAAATCAGTTATTCTTTCTTCTCAATTTCAACCGAAAACGATGAAAATTAGCATTAAACTTAACAAAATAAAACTTCAATCATATTCATAAGAGAAAACCCCTCAACTGAAAGGAAAGAGTTAGTATAAAAATAAATTGGGAAATTTTATGTTGATATGGTAGAAGAAATTAGAGTTATTTGAGTAAAATTTAGACTTCCCTGCTGCTTTGCTTTCCTTGCATGTTATTGCTTTATTTGCTAGTCTCTGACTCTCTGAGTTCCTTTGCAGCTTTCGATTTAGTTTGATCCACAACAATAAGAGCAGTTCATAGGATAATTCTGACATTTAGATATCGATTAAGTAGTATACCCCCTTGACGCTTCTTTTTGTCGGATCGCTTGATTTGCATTATCGGATGCATTCTTTTGTTTATTTTACACACTTTACCGGTTTTTGATTCAAGAGGTTTCAATTCTATTTGGAGTTCTGCCCTCTCCAGTCTGAGCTTACACTTTCAGGGGCTAGCGGCTAGGTTTAGGGCAAACACATGTTAACATGGTAGATGCATGATAGAAGTATCTTGTGATGATAGAAATATGCCAAAAGTATTTGAGAGACGTGGACACACAAATTCTTTATTTTAAGGAGCTGGAAACATTTTTTTTTTTTTGGTGCGTTTGAGCGGTCATGGACCGCTAAGATCATACAATAAAGGCCTTAGGCCACCCCTCGTAGACACCTATACTCCAAAACATTGGACATAATAATACAAAAGGCATTAGACGGCCAAACAAAATCGGGTGTAAAAATAGAACCATTTCGCCACTTCCATATGTACCAACACACAAAACCAAATAACTCATTCCAAGGGATGTTGTTACCGACAAGAAAGTTTGAGTTGGATAGGTTAAACCGCAACCAATCCTTCAAGTCCAGAGCAGTAAACTGTTCCAATCTCCATCCATTCAACCAGTAGGACCAGATGGAAAGAGAGGAATTACAATCCCTTAACAGATGCAGGATGTTTTCTGTAGCAAGACCACAACGCAGACAAGTTGCTGAAGAAGTAATGTTCCTTTGAAAGCATACCTCCCTTGTAAGCACCTTATTGTGCATCACAAGCCATATGAAGTGTTTGATCCGAGGTGGTAAGTTTGGCTTCCAAACCAGGTTCCATTGCCCCTCCAAACGACATGTCCCAAGCAACAATTTGTAGGCAGAACCCACGGTAAAAACGCCAGTCGGAGTACCCCCCACACAATTTTATCTTCATTGCTCATATTAGGCACGATCAGTCTTAGTTTATTTTGAAGACTGTTGGGTAGAGCTTGAATGAGGCTGCCAAAAGCATGCTTATGCTGAAGGAAGTCGTGGACAGTTAGCTCCTCTTGACCGCGTGAAAACTCCTCGCCCAAGACTTCCACCAGTGGTTTATTCCCCAACCAGGAGTCGGACCAGAACCGCGTGGCCTTCCCATTGCCAATGACCCGATCACAACCCATACGAACTAGAGGTTTGCTTGCAATGATGCTCCGCCATGTATGGGAAGAAGCAGGCTTAACAACAGATGAGAGGAAGGAGCACCCTTTCAAATACTTCGATCGAAGAACCAGTGCTCAGAGACTCTCGTCACCCTGTTCCAACCGCCATCCAAGCTTGGAGAGAAGAGCCATATTCATGGGATGTGTTAGACGAATACTCAACCCACCATCTTTCTTCGGTTTACAAACATTGTTCCATTTCACCAAAGCCACTTTCTTCCTCTCATTTGTAGAACCCCATAAAAAATCTCTGTTCAAAGAATCAATCTCCTTAGCCACCGACAAAGGTAGTTTCGAGGTCTGCATAGTATATGTCGCAATCGTGCTAGTGACCGATTGGACTAAAGTGGCTCTACCGGCGAGTGACAAGTGCTTGGCTTTCCAAGATGCAAGCTTCATCTTTATCTTATTGAGGATATGATCATAGGTTCGAGTATTCACCCTCCGAGTGTGTAATGGGACACCCAAATACATACCCAAGTCAGTACAGTGCGAAATACCCGAACTTGACTGTATATTATTCACCATGGACCTAGCAACATTAGGAGAGGTGATAAATCGGGACTTAGCCAGGTTAATTTTCTCACCTGAAAAATCACAAAAATTATTGAGGCACTTCATCATTGTTTGACACTGCGCCACCGAAGCTTCACCCATAAGAATTAGATCATCCGCAAAAATGAGATGCGATAGTGGGGGTCCCCCACGTGATGCAAGGAACGGTTTCCACACACCCTTCAACACATCCGCTTCAATCATTACCGACAGTTTATTCAAACAGAGCACGAATAAATATGGGGAAAGAGGGTCACCTTGTCGCAGTCCTCTTGAAGGCTTGAAGTACGAGGTCATTTCCCCATTCCAAAGCAGATTCATTTCAGTGGAAGAAATACAAAACATTATAAGTGAGATAAGAGTGGAAGGAAGGCCGAGATCCATAAGAACCCATCGCAGGAACTCCCAACTAATCCGATCATAAGCCTTTTCCAAATCAATCTTCATAACCATGGCCCCGAGCTTGCCCTTCTTATGCATCAAAGAATGCATGACCTCTTGAATTACTACAATGTTATCCGTAGTGCCCCTACCTGGAATGAAGCTGCTCTGAGTCGGTGATATAATATCCTTGAGAAGAGGGCGAAGGCGGTTGACAATCACCTTAGAAATTAGCTTGACCGAGACATTGCATAATGAAATAGGCCGAAATTGGGAGGCAAACTCTGGGTGGTCAACTTTCGGGATCAAACACACCAAAACCTTACTCAACTCCTGGTCAAAAGAACCAAGTACAAAAGCTTCTTTTACAAACTTACAGAGAGAGTTACCCACCGTATCCCAATTAGATTGGTAGAAGCCTGCTTGAAATCCATCAGGTCCAGGGGCTTTGAAGGGGGCCATTTGTTTAAGTGCACACCAAATTTCTGCATCCTGGGGAACCTTGATCAGTGCATTCAAGTGTTGCTCACTCAAAGGCAAAGATGAGTGGGGACAAAGGACATTGAAATCTGCCACCAAATCTTCAGAGTGGTAAACAGATTGAAAGTGAGCAATAACTGATCGTTTTATGGCATCCAAATCATGAATCCAAACACCTGAAACATCCTTGAGGGAACTGATTCTATTTCTGGCTCTTCGAACTAAGGTAGTTGTGTGGAAAAACTTAGAGTTCCTATCTCCAAACTGCACCCATCTAGAACGAGACTTTTGGAACCATAAAATTTCCTCTTGTACGAGAACTGAGTTATACTCTTTAGTCAATTTAGCCTCCAAACCATATAAGTAAGGGTTCGGATTGGTCTCCAAAGCCCTTTGAACGCCACTAAGTCTTGCAAGTAACAGACGCTTTCGACGAAACACATTCCCAAATGTACCAGAGTTCCAAATCTGTAGTGTAGTCTTGGTGACAAAGAGATTATTTTTTAGGTCTCCCGCTTTAACCCAACAATCAGCAAGAACTTGCGGAAAGGAATGGTGGGTCAGCCAAGCCATCTCAAAACGAAAAGGTCGAGCATTTATATCAACAGGACCATGCTTCTCCAGAGTGACAAGAACGGGGCAGTGGTCACTATGAGCTCTCGATAGGTTAGTAGCAAAGGCATCCGAAAAGGTAGCTCGCCATGCAACGTTGCAAAAGGCACGATCTAACTTCTTTCGTATCAAACCATGCGCCACCTGCTTGTTAGACCAAGTAAATCGACAACCACCTGCATGAAGTTCCATGAGATGTCTCAGTTGCACCACCTCCCGAAAAGGCTCCATTTTTCGTGTCGGCTCTGGATTTCCTCCCTGTTTCTCATCTCCTGCAAGAATCTGGTTAAAGTCACCAATAAGAAGCCATGGGATATCGTCAAAATCAGAAAATTCCTTAAGAGAGCTCCAAAGATAGTGGCGGGATGCCTCCAACGGACTAGCGTAAACAGCAAAAATCCCCCATTTAGAACTTCTTGTGGAAATGGTAATGGCCAAGAACTGATTCGCCTTCGCGGCCACCGAAACACTCCCAACACCGGCCTTCCATAAAATCCACAAACCCCCAGAAAAGCCAATCGCGTCAACTTTAACACATCCATCAAAGCCCAGCCTCTCGATCACTCTATCAGCTCTGTCTCCACTGATTCTCGGCTCAGCAACAATTAAAACTTGCACCCTATGAAGTCGAATTAACTCCTTGATATTCCTGCGAAACTCGGTGCTTGCTGCACCTCTCACATTCCAAAATAAAATCGTCATAATGGGCACAAATTAAAGGAGGGGTAGCCAAGATACGTCAACCATCCAACGCATGGGGCTGCTAGATATCCTCGTAGTTGGCAACAACTTCAGCCATAACCATTGTGGTGTCTTCCTTTGCCAAGTCATTAGCAACGCCATTGTCAAACAACATGCACGGTTGGTCTTCACTTACCGCAGCATGCAAAGAAGGAGGGTGCTCTTGCGGCAACTTGAGTGGGTCTGTTTCATCATGGAGGTGCCCAGGGCGATGAGGAATGCGCGGGAGAAACGCCGAAGGGTGCGAATGCTGATGACTATCATTAAATGTAATATGGTCATGGTGCAGCACCACATGTGCGTTATTTGACCCAATAAAGGACTCCAGTCTTTGGGGATCAAAATCAATGGGCTTGGAAGTACCAGCCTTAAACTGGAATCCTGGAGGAGGGCCCAAAATTTTTGACTCCATAAATAGTGGAGCTTTTTCCTTTGACTTCAACTTGCTATCTTTAGAAGTAGAAGCTGACTTGTATTTGATTGTCATCTTATCTGAGATACGTATCCCAGATTGTTTAGGTCTCCATTCCTTAGTTTGATTCCCTTTTTGGACATCCCTCTTGCCTACGGCAGCAGTCACCTTATCATTAGGCGTGATTTCCTCCTGCAATCCCATGAAATCTGTAGACAACAAAGCAGTGAATCTGCTACCCTTGATTAGCCGTGTATCCCGTTGATTGTTAGACTTTCCTTTCCCATCCTCACCACTCACCGGCCGCCGTCCACGTCATTGAACAAGCATCCAAGGGCCAAAATCCGGCTCCTCTTGCGGCACCTGTCTTGCCCTTTGGGACTGGCTTCCAGGTGGAGACGGGTTTTCATTCTGATTAGGGGCATGTTTATCCTCCAGTAGAGCATCTTTCGGTATCTCCTGGTCCGCCATTGTAGTTCCATCTCCTGCAGACAAAGAACAATCATCTTTCCTATGTCCAAATTTGCCACACTTGAAGCAAATCATCTGAATGCCTTCATATTCAATTCTTTGAGTAGTTTTTCCCAAGATAACCGAAGGCAAAAGAGGTTTAGTAAGGTCCAACTCCACACATACTCTCGCAAAACTACCCCGTACAGCATTCTGAGTATTTCCATCTATCCTGACAACTTTGCCAACTTTGGCAGCAATCCGTTTTAGGGCTATATGGGAGTAAAATTCCAATGGCAATTCAGGTAACCGAATCCATGCAATGACCGATGTGATTTGATCAGTACTGGGCTTGAAATATGGAGACCACCGTCTTACCGTAAGGTAATGGCCACCAACTATCCATGGTCCTCCTTCAAGAACATGCTGGTAATCTGCCTTCCTGTGAAACTTGAATAAGAAGTAGTCCTTCCCCAGATCAATAATCCGATAACGCCCTACAATCTGCCATAACTGAGGGACTTTATTAGAGAGTGTTTTAAAGCCAAGAACCCCACCAAGTAACTTGATGATAAGGGCATTCCGCCATGGCCTGCGCATCTCTTTCTTTTCCTCCATTGAGAAGCCTATTCTTGCACCATCTTCCCTCAGTTCATCAGAGTCCGAGACCACATCATCAAACATGGTTTCATCCTCGCCATCTTCATGCTCCCATTCATCACCCTCTTCTAATCCAAGGGTTGCTTGACCCGTCAGTCTCTCCTTATAGGATGGCTTCTGGTTATGTGGAAAGGGGTCACCCCCACCAGCATTCTGGTCCGTTTTGGACTCCTCATCAACACCACGATCACCATTGCTATGTCCTTCCTCATCATTACCAAAATCAATACGACCATGCTTGTATTTTTTCCTAGCTCGGCGGAGAAACTCACCTTCAAGGCTAGGGTTGCCGGGAGAGTTTTCCATGGCAGCTAGGGTTTTCCCCTCTTTCACCTGTCCTCGATCGCTTTGATCTCGGAGAAAATTCGCCCAACTAGGGATTTCCCCTCTAGTATTCACAGATTCTATCTTCAATTTCTCACTTTTGATCTCGGAATTCTTTCTTTCTTTCTTTCTTTTTTTCCTCTTTTTTTCACTTCCCTTTTCTTTCGTGTTTCCCTTTTCTTTTCACTTCCCCTTTCTTTCTTTCTTTCTTTAAAAAAAAAGAAAGGGAAAAATGTGTCCAGGCCCCAAAAATATTGATTAAACTACACTCTTCTGCACTATGATTATTCTTTAAAAAAAAGGGGAAAATGTGTCCAGGCCCCAAAAACAGAAACTTAATGTGCTGCAGCCCCTCCTAGTTTCCCCCATGTGGTTCAGCCCCTTGAAGTGTGACATTTTGTGCTGCAGCCCCTTTTTAACAAATATTACATGCCAACTAAGCTAAAATCCTCAAAATAACCTTATCCCCTCTTCTCAATCATTCAAACTCAGTTCTCTCTCTCTCTCTCTCTCTCTCTCTCTCTCTCCCCCTCTCTCTCTTTAAAAACAAGGGCTTTCTAAAGCTCGTCGCTCTGGCCCTCGCCCTCCTCGCCGTCGCCACCTCCGCCCAGGCTCCCAAGCCTCCCCCGAGTTCGCCGCCGCCTCCCCTCCTCTCCTCCGCCCGACCTCGTCACGGTAGCTCGCCGTCGTTCCCCTTCTCGCCCTCGACTACGTCTTGATTGAGAGCTCTTGCTATTGGGCCTAGCTGCATTAACAGAGGCAACAGCATGTAGTGATGATGGGCAACCTGAAGAAAAATGAAGAAAATGGCAAAGAAGGAGATCATTAGACTCTACAGAACAAAACCCATTACAGAAAACTTTGCCTGGATTGAAAGTGTACCTTCAGTATTGGCTGCAACTGTGTCCAAAAATCCTCTTTTAGTGGGTTTAGAGGCTTTAGGAAAATAACCCAGAGAGAGGACTGAAGGATCTTCTTCATCAATCCAATTTCTCTCCTTTGACGCCATCAGATTAAGTAGCTTTGGACAAACTTCACTTTTCTTTCTAAACTCTTCTCCCATTTTTTTACTCAGACTGGAAAAACAGAGCCCGATAGGAGGAGCTAGAAGAAAGAAAAAATGTCAAAAAAAAAGTTAGTTCTAACACACGGGTACAGTGTTAGTTCTAACACGCTACAGTGTTAGTTCTAACACGCTACAGTGTTAGTTCTAACATTGTAGCGTGTTAGAACTAACATTGTAGCGTGTTAGAACTAACACTGTAGCGTGTTAGAACTAACACTGTAGCCGCGTGTTAGAACTAACACTGTAGCGTGTTAGAACTAACACTGTAGCGTGTTAGAACTAACACTGTAGCTTGTTAGAACTAACATTGTAGCGTGTTAGAACTAACATTATAGCGTGTTAGAACTAACAATGTAGCTGCGTGTTAGAACTAACTTGTTAGAACTAACACTGTAGCCGCGTGTTAGAACTAACACTGTAGCGTGTTAGAACTAACACTGTAGCTTGTTAGAACTAACATTGTAGCGTGTTAGAACTAACACTGTAGCCGCGTGTTAGAACTAACTTGTTAGAACTAACACTGTAGCGTTTAAAAAAGGCAGGCGCAGTAACAATAGAACATTTTATGATTTTTGTTCCTTTTAATCTTAATTGACAATCATCCGTGGTTGATTATTCAAAAATGATTGTAAAACTAAAAACTTCAATGCAGAAACAATTTATGATTACTGCAATAAGAAAGATGAAAACGGTTTAATCTGCCAAAAGAGAAACTGTTATATACACCAAGGCATGCAAAAATCATCAGAAATAAGATGACTATATATGTACTTAAAGATCAGTATAATGATCTTCAATGGAGAAGATCCTGACAGCACAGGGACCCTGACCCACGTAAGAAGAGATTATGTTAACCTCTATTGCAATTTTATTAAGGACTCGCCTCGTACAGAGTTTATCATAAATAATCCGGTAGAAGAACAGGAACAGAAAAGCCACACAATTCATTCAAAGCATAGTATTAGGAAGCTTCTTATTATTACCAATATAATGCAGATTTTCCATGATATTACCTAAATAAATTAATATAGAAATAATCAAAATCCAAAGGGGGTTAAGTTATTCGAAAAAGAATCTCTTCCAATCATACCCCCCCCCTCTTTTCCCCATGATCATAGATCCTTTTTAGGCCAGCAGTTAAGAATAAGGCCCTATTGGATGAGAACGGTGTTAGTTCTAACACGCGGCTACAGTGTTAGTTCTAACAAGTTAGTTCTAACACGCGGCTATAGTGTTAGTTCTAACATGCTACAATGTTAGTTCTAACAAGCTACAGTGTTAGTTCTAACACGCGGCTACAGTGTTAGTTCTAACACGCGGTTATGTTAGTTCTAACAAGCTACAGTGTTAGTTCTAACACGCGGCTACAGTGTTAGTTCTAACACGCTACAATGTTAGTTCTAACAAGCTACAGTGTTAGTTCTAACACGCTACAGTGTTAGTTCTAACACTGTAGCGTGTTAGAACTAACACTGTACCCACGTGTTAGAACTATTTTTGACATTTTTTCTTAGCTCCTCCTATCGGGCTCTGTTTTTCCAGTCTGAGTAAAAAAATGGGAGAAGAGTTTAGAAAGAAAAGTGAAGTTTGTCCAAAGCTACTTAATCTGATGGCGTCAAAGGAGAGAAATTGGATTGATGAAGAAGATCCTTCAGTCCTCTCTCTGGGTTATTTTCCTAAAGCCTCTAAACCCACTAAAAGAGGATTTTTGGACACAGTTGCAGCCAATACTGAAGGTACACTTTCAATCCAGGCAAAGTTTTCTGTAATGGGTTTTGTTCTGTAGAGTCTAATGATCTACTTCTTTGCCATTTTCTTCATTTTTCTTCAGGTTGCCCATCATCACTACATGTTGTTGCCTCTGTTAATGCAGCTAGGCCCAATAGCAAGAGCTCTCAATCAAGGCGTAGTCGAGGGCGAGAAGGGGAGCGACGGCGAGCTACCGCGACGAGGTCGGGCGGAGGAGAGGAGGGGAGGCGGCGGCGAACTCGGGGGAGGCTTGGGAGCCTGGGCGGAGGTGGCGACGGCGAGGAGGGCGAGGGCCAGAGCGACGAGCTTTAGAAAGCCCTTGTTTTTAAAGAGAGAGGGGAGAGAGAGAGAGAGAGAGAGAGAGAGAGAGAGAGAGAGAGAGAGAGAGAGAGAGAGAGAGAGAGAGAGAGAGAGAGAGAGAGAGAGAGAGAGAGAGAGAGAGAGAGAGAGAGAGAGAGAGAGAGAGAGAGAGAGAGAGAGAGAGAGAGAGAGCCGTGTTTTTAAAGAGAGATGGGGGGAGAGAGAGAGAGAGAGAGAGAGAGAGAGAGAGAGAGAGAGAACTGGGTTTGAAGGATTGAGAAGAAGGGATAAGGTTATTTTGGGGATTTTAGCTTAGTTGGCATGTAATAATTGTTAAAAAGGGGCTGCAGCACAAAATGTCACACTTCAAGGGGCTGAACCACATGGGGGAAACTAGGAGGGGCTGCAGCACATAAAGTTTCTGTTTTTGAGGCCTGGACACATTTTTCCCTTTAATTTAACACTGGGGTTGTCATAGATTACCCTTCTCAACTTTAAAATTTAATATATATA